CAGCAGGCAGTGAACAGTCACTGCCCAGGGACCTCTGCCGTCCCTCCAGGGATGCCCACGATCCCACTATCCAGCAAGATGTTACCCCGAAGGGAAACCCCCGGGCAAGAGGGAGCCTCCCCTGCTAAGGCCAGAGCCCGACTCTGTGCCCAGTGGTCAGGCACGTGGGCCTTCCTCTCTGCTAAGTATTTGACCATCATCCCAGGTTAAAGAGTCACTGAGGGCTGCGAGGAAAAGGGACAGAACCTTTATTGGCGTCAGCGCCTCGATACTGTGCTGGTTTACACCTTCTCAACGCATTAAACCCATCAGCCCGTCAACACTTGGGCGGCCGCTCTGGGCCAGACAGCCGTCCTCCCGCCTCCTCGCCGGCCCTCGCCTCTCTGCTGCAACACGCCCTGCTCGCTGGGACTCAAAGGAAGGAAAAAGGAAGAAGGCTCCAAGTGGAAAAAACATTCCCTGTATTTTACGCTCTGCACTACACTAGCAGCTGAAGCAGAACCCCTTCTGACTCTCCAAAAACCTCGGCACGTGGATGGTAAAACTGACATCAGAGGGACGCTCCGTAAACACTGCAGGCCCAAGAGAAGGGCCAGATTGCAGGCCCTTCACTGAGGAAGCAGCGCTGTAGGTTGCTGGTGGCTGGGGCACATACACCTGGAGTGTGGGCTGGGGGATGGGGTGTGGAGCAGTGAGGCCTTTGGGGGCATTGCTGAGGGGGACCAGAGGCCTCCCCTTCTCTGCTTCTGAGCCCCAGCCTCTCCCCAGGCCCCCCCGGGTGCTGGACACTCCTGGGGTCAAGCCCCCTACTCCTCAGCCTGCAGCTCAAGCTCCTGCAGTATGGGGCAGAGAGGGAAGCCCACCCGGCCACTCCGCCCACCTTCCTCTCTGCCCTTGGCTTTAAAGAGCCTGTGAGGGAGTCTGGGGGCGTTTCCTTCCCCCTGTGCAGAGCACAGGCCCCAGGGAAGGGGCCACGGGCAGTGCTCAGCTTGGGCGCCAAGGTCTGGCCCTTTCCAGCTGCAGCGGCCCAGGCAGAGTCGGCAAAGCCAGCCAGGCCTGAGGCCACACTCCCTCATCACGCCCACTCGCTTCTGCTCGACCACCAGGGTCCCACCCAGAACCTCCACACTCAGCTAATGTGGAAACGCCCGGCCCTGCTCCTTCCCCCACGCTCCTCCAGCAGCCACCTCCCAACACTGGCCAGCCCTGACCCAGCCCAGGGCACGGCCCCAGGCATTCTCGGTGGCTCTGACCTCCCTTCTCCACCAACACCAGCCACCTCTGTTCCATGTCATGCCACTGTCCCAAAGCTCAGGGCTGGATGCTTGACATTTTTTCAAGAAGTATTCATTTTTGGTTATAGATAAATGAATACAGCCTCAGAAAATCAGAATGTCTCAGATAAAACAAAATTGTTCTTCGACCCACTCATCTAACCCTAATCCTGCACTTAGAGGCTGTGGCCGCAGTCTGATGAATGTCCTCTTGTAAAAATAAAAGAGGTGTGTGTGTACCCACATACAGATACACACACATATGTGCACACACATACATGTACACATATATGATACACATACATCCACAAATGTGCGTGTTCACTTATGTGCTCTCCTGCTCCATGCACGGGTCCCTTCCAGGCCCTCCCAGCTCCAACTACCTATCAGTCTGCAAGTCTGCCAGTGACTAAAACAAAACAGTTGAAAACCAGTGACAATCTAAAAACCATAAGTACCATCTAAGACAATGAAAGGGAGAAATACTTCAAGAAACTGACATGATTTTGAGAGATCTTTCTGGGGCTCAGTTTCTAAAAGAACAGCTCCTGTCCAAAGGGGGACGGTGAGGAAGCCTGCACTGGGCTGCAGCTGGGCCCTGGGACAGGTTCTCCACCACCTCCCTGCCTGCAGGGCCCTCCTCCCCTCCCCCCTCCCTCCCCCCATCTCCCGCCACCTCCATGAGGGAGGGCAAGGGCTCTGCACAGCTGTGGGCAGGAGGGTGGCAGCCTCTCCATCTGGAGCCAGCTCTCCGGCTCCTACGCCGCCTTCGCACCCCATCCCATCGTGGAGCTCTCTGTGACGCTGGCTGTCCCATCCTAACTTGGTTCAGCCTTCATCACCCTCATCCTCTGCCAAAGCCTCTGTTTGCCCCTTACTGGGGGCCCCGAAGGTAGAAATCCCACCTTTTCATCACCAAGTCCAGCACATTTGATTTTCCCAACATCACAATTTCCCAACCAGACAAATCGTGGGTACGTCTCCTTCTCTCCACAAATATCGGGTGTGCGACACAGAAGCCTTGTGCGTCCTTTTCATCAGGGGGGGCTCGCCTTCCTTTCCCTGTGCACGCACTCTGAGCCTAATCTCTAGACAGCGTTAACGCCGGTAGATGGCGAGAAGAAAGGCTTATCTGAAGGCAAAAGCGCTGAAGGAAAACTGATGGCGCCACAGCCTTGCAGAGCGTGGAGAGAAAGGCCGGCATCCCCATCCCTCCCCCAACCCCGGCACAGACTCTCCAAGTGACGCATCTTCGCCCACACAGAGACTAGGACGCACCAGCCCTTCTGGCCCCCAGCACGGGGCTGGAGGAAGAACAGAGGCGCAGATCTGGCTTCCTGTCCCACGGCCACCAACCGGATGGGAGAGTCATGAGCAGGCTCTTTAACCCCCAGCTTACCTCCTGCACTCTGCTGGACTCCCGGCGGATGTCCCAACCCCACGGTGAGCCTCCCTGAGGGCCTCCGTTGGTCACAAAGCCGCGTGGGAAATACCAGAATTAGTCGAGTGGCTCATCTGGTCCTGGGAGCGCAGGCGCAAAGAGGGACACAGCTCAGTGGGTTAGAGGAGGCCAGCGCTCCTGGGGATCGTTTGGCCCGGGCAGGAGTTTCTTTTGCTCAAAGCCGCAGGTGTGGGCACGATGCCCAAGGTTGGTCCAACAGAGTGGCTGGAGCCCCCCTGCCTGAGCATCTCTGGTTTCCAAATCCACAGCACATCCTAGCTGCTCAGTCATTAAATTCCTGTTCCTTATCGGAAGGAATTCCTGGGGTCCCAGAACCTGTCTCCATCGTGGTCGGGAATTGGTCTATGGGGCTAACTAACCTTTGGCTGCTCACGACATACACTTCTCCAGCACTCCCAAGCCCTGTGCCTCCCTGGGAGTTCAAACTGAGAAGGGGCACCAGGATCAGACTGCCTGGTTTGTCCAGCTCCCTGGGACTGGCCTGCGGCTCTCCCAGACCACCTGTGTGTCTTCCTTCTGCCTCCAGAGACATCTCTGATCCCAACAGGCTGCCCAGCCACACCACAATTCCTCCACATCCCGAGCCCGTGGTTTGAGCTGTAAACCTTGACCTTCCTGCACAAGGTACTGGGTTGGATAGTACCCCCCAAATTTGTGTCCTTTCCAGAACCTTAGACTATGACCTTATTTGGAAATAGGGTTGTTGCAGATATAATTAAGAGGAAGTCATACTGGGGTCGGATGGGCCCTTATATAATCTCACAAGGAGAGAGAGACACGCAAGGAGAGAGAACGCCATGTGACGACGGAGGCAGAGATGTGAGTGATGCGTCCACAAGCCCAGGAACACCAGGGATGCCGGCAGCACCCAGAGCTGGGAGAGGGCCCTGGAACAGACCCTCCCCTAGAGCCTGCGGAGGGAGCGTGGTCCTGCTCATTCCTTGATCTTGGACTTCTGGCCTCCACAAGTGTGAGAGAATACATTCCTGTTGTTTTAAGCCACTCAGTTTGTGGCACTTCGTTAACAGCAGCCCCAGGAAGTGAATACAACCTAGTTCTGTTGTAACCAACAAGGCATGATGCCACCTGCTAGGAGACAGGCTACCCCGACGTGGGTCTGGTCTGCCATTCCCTCTGCTTAGGCGGCACATGACGAAACATTTGGGAAGTTCAGGATGCTGTCAAGAACCTGGGATGTTCTCTAGAACATAGTGACACCAGTGCTAGAACATTCTGCTCCCTGCTTGGCTTTGTAGACAGAGTCCCCACTGACTTTCCCCTGGTGATAGTAATGTCTGCCAGGGGACCACCTTGTCACACCTGTGATACCTCCATTATGTGACACTGTGTATTTGGAGTTAGGTGCCTGAGCAGGCAGAAGAGTAGCCATTCCAGGGAGATGATTTTAGGGTTACTAGAAACAATACCCCCACACACACACACAAGTAAAGAAATGAAAAGAAAACTCCCTCCCCTCCCTTTCCTTATAAATCAGAAAGACTGAAATTCGCTCTTGCTGCCACCTGGCCTTGCAGCTCAAATATGGCTCAACATGCAGGTCTTCTGAGTGCAAATGCGACCTGGAGAGAAAGAAATACTATCCTAGACCTCTGATGCTCAAGGGCAAGTTTGTTTTCTGAATCACTGTCTTCTTAATGCAAATGTTTCAAGTTAGCAGAAAGAATTGGAAAAGTAGAGGCAGGAAGGGACAGAGTAAACTCCATCTACTTTACAGTTTGCCTTGTATACTTCATGTCATGACCAGTGGTCAAGTGAGAATATTTTATCCTCGGATCACAAATACAAGCCTAAGGGACTCTCTCGTAAACACACACATTTCCTTCCCCCGTTTCTCCAGCCAATCCATCCAGCTTCCATTCCCTGCTGCCCGGAGCCCAAAACAAAAAAGTCAGGATCTGCCAGAAGCAGGTACAGTCACATCCTCAAATACCAAACCGCAGGGAGTGGGGAGACATCGGCAGAGCAAGCAGTCTGTCCTCTGGCCCTGGGTCACTTGGTTGTCCTCACAAGTCACACTGTGAGTATCGGGACGTTTACAGTTAACGCCACGGACCATGCCGCACGGCAAGGGTAGCGCCTCAGTGTCGGAAGAAAGTGGTGGGCGAACACTGAGGTTGTTCCGGACAGAGATCTGTTTGAGCGGAGAAGGGGCAGAAAAAGACCTGGGCACTCAGCACCACGTCACTCACAGCCACCCGGCAGCCGAGTGGCACCCACCTGAAACAATAGCATCAATGTCTTACTTTTTCTGGAGCGGGAGAAAAACCTGATGCCGCCGGGAGAGGTAGAGGGGTTGGAGTTGGGTGAAGACTCTTTGGAGGAGGAGCGGAAGATCCCGCTGAAGCTCATGCGGCGCGGTGAGCGCGGCGGGGACTCCTGGTAGGAGAACGGGAACACCGTTTTGGGAGAGCCGGGGCTGGTCTTAGGCCTCACGGGAGCAGACACGGGGCTGGAGGGCCGGGGCTGGGGGCCCCTGGAGAAGAGCCCTTTGGAGGGGCTGCCCAAGCTGACAGGGCTGTCCACCTGTGGAACGACAGACAAACGGATGCGGTCACCCCGAGGTTTGGACACTCTGACTTCTACCCTGCACTGGCCTGTCATCATCGTCCCTCTCACCAGGCTGACCCTCCACAGCTCCCTGCCCAAGAAACAGCCCCGAGCTCCACAGAGGGGGCCGCCGAACAGCCTGGAGGCAGGCACGTGCCCCAAGCGTGGCCCAGCACGGGCTGGTCGGCACCACATCCCAGGGGCCCACTGGCCATACTGTCCCTCTCTCCAGAAGGGCTCCCGGGAGGCAGAGGGGAGGAAAGATCCTTCCCAGGGTCTGACCACGCAGGAATATGGTTCCCTTGCCTGCCCCGAAGGAAAAAGCAGAAATCCCTGTGATCCAGAACAGAGAGCGCCTGGGACTCCAGCCTGAGGGAGGACGGAGATGAGGAATTTTTCACCTCCAAGCTGCCCTGGCCTTTGGATGGCCGAAGGTGCTGACAGAGGTCAGGAAGAAAGTTCACAAGGCCCCAAACCTCTGAGGCGCTTCACTGATGAGGTAAAATCGTGGTTACAGCCCGAACAATTATTGGACCCTGGAACTAAAGCCAAGGCACAATGCTCCCAGACTGGCGACTGCCCGTGCGCCCCACGCCTGCGCGCCTGCGGTGCGGCGAGGGCCACGCACCCTGCCGCCGGGGATGACCCGGCTCCACCCCCCGCTGTGCCGTCCCAGGCATGTCACTCAGTCCCACTAAGCCTCGGTTTCCCCATCTGTAAAATGAGGATAGTCGCACTCTCACCTCGTGGGGCTGTCTGAATGCCAAGTGACATGTGTGGACGAGGGCAGGGGACCTAATGCGCAGGAGCCGCACCAGGCGCGGTGCCCTGCTGCCGCCTGGCCCTGGTGAATTTGCGACACCGGAGCTGAAAGGAACCCGGCGGCTACCCAGGAAAGTACCTTGTCCACGGGGCTCATGGGGCAAGAACGAGATGAAACCCTGGACATGCCGCGCGCTGGTGCCCCGGGCAGTGTCAAGAAGGGAGGGCCGCTCTGTCCGCCCCACTTTGGGGAGCGCGGCCGGTACGTCCTTGCACCACTAGAGGGCGCCCCAAGCCCTGAGCTCGAGGATGCTCAAAGGCAGGACGGTGCCCTTGCGGGACGCGCTGGTCAGTGACGAATGACTGCCACAGAGTCCAACCTCCCCCGAGTGAGATCTGGCACCGCCACGCCAGGGTGCAGGGACCAGCTTGGTGCCAGCACCTTCGCTGAGTGGGCTTCCCAGGCAGAAGGGCCGGTGTGCCACCAGGGGACGCAACTCAAGCTCTGCTTGTTGTAGAGAGGTCCAAGTTCTTCTTTCTTTTGACCACTTTATACAAAAAGCCCTTCGATTCTCTGTTCATAGAGTATTCCGTTTAGCCACTGTCCCACCTACCTATGGCACTCAGGATAAGTCATGAGAATAAACTGAAAAACAGGAGGCTCTTCCAGCGGTGGGGCGTGTGTGGGGCGTGGGGTGGGGAGGGGGCTGAGAGAAGCCTTAGCCACGGCGGGAGCAGCAGGTGCGGGCAATAGAGGATGACCCCGTAGCACGGAGGTCCGACCAGCAAGGACTCTGGACAGCGGCCCGAGCTGGCGTCCCAGTTCTGTCTCCAGTGGTGAGACGAGGGAAGTGGCCTGGGAGGCGTGACACGGGAGAGGGGTCGAGCCCACGCAGGAGGGAGAGACGCCCCTGGAAAGGCTAGCCCCGCAGACCTGCTTCGCTGCGCTCTCTGCACTGCGCAGTGAACTCTGCCTGGCACGTGCCGACGTCCACTTGTGTGGAGGGGACAAAGGTGTGCAGGGAAGCCCGGGGGCCGCAGGGGAGTGTCGGGGAATGGCTGCAAGCCCAGAGCACCGTGAGCATGATGCCCACGAAGAAGTGTCCAGAGGCATAAAACTGTCCTCACGGGGGCGGGGACTCAGAGAGGACGCTGAGAGCTGGACAGGATCTAGACAGCCTGACGGACGGGGCTGGGGAGGCCCCAGGGCCTGGGGACAGAGGAGATGGAGCTGGGGAGCCCAGCGACAGAGGACCGCCCACGGGGGCCACACTGGGGGGCCGGGGGAGGCTGAAACATGTGCCACTGGAAACCAGTCACGGGGGCCAGGGGGACCCCAGGGTTCACCTGAATGGGATTCCATTCTGTACCCAGAAAGCCAGGCCAACGGAGCCAGGCTGAGGAGGGAGACCCAGAAAGCAGAATTTCCACTCTTGTGTCCCGAAAATGGCCCTTCCCAGCCCTTCCCACAGGGAGCCTGGAGGGCCTGACCACAGCCCGGGGTGAGAGAGCAGGCGCAGGGAGAGGCACGCTGCTTCCTGCGGGGGTCGGGTGCAGACAGTGGGCGCGGGGTGAAGCCACCAGGGACAGCCTCAGCTCTGGCTATCGGGCCAGCTGCAGCTGGACGGTACTTTGGCAAACGTAACTGGATGATCCCAGGGTGTGGACGAGACTCCTGAGTGTGTGCCTGGCTCCGCGGGAGCTAATGGGCAGAGGGCACTCAGGCCGTCTGCCGAGCGGAGCTTTGCAGATGGGGCCATTTGTCACGCAGCTGCCAGAGAGGAAGCCGAAGCCAGGGCCAGGCCTACTGCTCGGCCCGTAGCCACTGTCCCTTTCCTGAGTGGGGGCAGGGGCAGCTCTAGGAACAGCCCAAGGGACTGACAAAGAGGACATCAGATGCCTCCTGCAGCGGAGGGAATGGCATATAAGAAGCAGGGGGCGGGGAGGGGGCCGGGGAAGGTGGCCGCGTGAGAGCAGCTCCCAAGACCGGCGGCTGCAGCCCCACTCAGCCCAGGTGTGCAGGAGCCAGTGCTGGGGCACCCCGCTCACTCAGGGCTCGGTGAGGGAAGGAGGCGGCTGCAGCTGAGCCCTTAGCAGATGGCAGGAACACCTCTAAGGCCTTTTTCTGCTCAGATACGATGTATTCCAGACAATGACTTTACTCTGGAACCCCCTGGAACCCCCAGAGGGGGGCCAGGTGGGCCTGGGTCAAGTCCCAGTCCTCCCGTGGCTTTTGCCGCAGTCTCGGGGCCTTCCTAGGTTTCCACGTGAAGGAAGGGCCGTGCTGAGTCACACAGGAGGAGAGTGACCCAGGCCCCGCAGGGCCGTGGGCCACAGCCTTGCACGGGCTCCGGGCCCAGGGTCTCCTTGCTGCCACTCCACCGTTCTGCTGGCCCTGCAGCTCTGCCAAGGTCGTGCCCTGATGGTCTTTTCTGGCTGGGCCACAACAGCTGCTACCAAGGCTGCTTGTTCAAGGCAGGGCCTGGCAGGGAGCTGATGCCAGCTGAGCCCCACAGGCCCAAACCAATTTGTTGATTCAGTTGTATGTAATTCAGAATGCTTAGAGAATAGATTAGCTTTTCCAGTATTGGAACTGCTGCCCTGATCCCAGGCTGGCCAGCACCCAGCACCCGCTCCCAGATCCTGCACGCAGCACCCCACGCTAGCCCCCTCCTGCAGGCCTCCCATCCTGCCCCTGGCCACCTGGACCTCTCCTCCCCTGCCGCGGCCACCCCAACCCCTCACCTGACGCTGGGGACCCCTCCCCACCCGGCACCCCTACCCAACCCACAGCTGCGTGGAGATGCTGGTTTCCTAATGCAAGAAAAATCAGCCATGGGGGAGGGGACAGCCATGAGCTAAAGAGAGGAAAGGAACCGTGGGAAGGAGACAAAAAGGTGTGTGGAACTGTGGCAGGGGTGGAGGGGGTTGCAAACTGAGGGGAAAGGAGAGAGCCCAAGGCCTGGGGTCCAGGTGGGCAGGACAAAAGGGATCAGCCTAAACCACAGATGTCAGCACGACTGATGCCCCCAGCCCCCTCTTTTCTACCTATGTACGCCGGGCTCAGCTTACTGTCAATCTCCTCGGCCCCTGCCCACTCTCATGGGGGGTCTAGCGGGCCACAGTCCGCCCGGAGTGAGGAGAAGAAAAAGGTGTCCAGCCCAGAAGGCTCTCCAGCTGGCCATCCTGGCAGGTGCGAGGGGCACGGCCACATAAGGTGAGCTATCGGGGGTGGCTCGGCCGCAGCTGGGTGCGCAGGTGGGCGTGCAGGTGGACACTCCAGTGAGAGCGCAGGTGACAGCGGAAGTGCGCCTCAAGTGAGCCGTGTGGAGCTACAAGAGAGGAGGCCTTACCTTACGAGGAGAAGGTTTCTCTGAACTCTCCAGGTCCCCGTCCAGGAGCGGCATGGCGAAGGAGCTCAGGTCCTAGGACAGAAAGCGAGTGCACGGTCACGACGGGCCCTCAGGTCCAGGGGGCTGCACGAAGCCCTAAGTGGGCGTCACCTGCCCCTTCCTGAGTCCTCCTTCTCAAAAGCACCCACTAAGGAGGGATGTGGGTGTGTTTGCCAGCCCCCCCAGATCCTGACCACCATCCACATTCCCTTCCAGAAGAAGTCAAATTTCCAGTAGCAGCCACGACCTCCCATCACCCAGGGAAGGAGGAAGGAAGAAAAAGCTGGGATAAAGTGGGGGCAGGGAGGGAAAGAGACCAAGGAAGGAGGGCGGGCGGGAGAGAGGTCGCATCTCGGGATGTCTGGGGGAGTCGCCGATGGACAGGACTTTATCCCAGGACCTGGAAAGTGTGTGTCTGGGAAGATGGTGGGGTGGGGGTGGGAACGGCGGCGTCAGGGCGGCAGCTGGGCCGACACAATGGGACAGGAACCTAAACCAGACTGTGGGGGAGTAGCTCACCCCAAACTCATCATGTCTGAACCAGCCGGGCCCCTCCTGCGTCCACAGTCTCTGCGGGTGAACACCTACCTCCACACCAGGCAGAAACCCCACCTGGCTGTCCTCAAATCCACCTGCACACTTAACCTTTCCTTTTTATTTATTTTTAACTATTTGATTGTAGTATGATACACTTAACATAAAATTTACCATCCTGACCATTTTAAGTGCAGGTTCAGAGGCACTGAATACACTCACACTGCGGGGCCGCCATCCCCACTGTCTGTTTCCAGAACTTTTTCACCTTCCCAAACTGGAGCTCCGTCCCCATGCAATACTAACCCCCCCTTCTCCCCTCCTCAGGCCCTGGCAACTCCACTCTACATTCTGTCTCTGGGAATCTGGCCACTCTAGGGACCTCATGTAAATGGAATCAGACAGTATGTGGCCTTTGGTGACGGGCTTATTTCACTGGGCATGACATCTTCAAGGATCATCTGTTGTAGCATGTCAGAATTTCCTTCCTCTTTAACGCAGAATAATACTCCCTTTTATGAATATAGCACATTTTGTTTATCCAGTCATCAGCTGGTACACTGGGTGGCTTCTACGTCTTGGCTACTGTGAATCATGCTGCTGTGGACATGGGTGTTCCGGGTTGAAATCTGTCCCCCTTCCAAAAAAATTCCTGTGTTGAGGTCCTAACCCCCAAGACCTCAGAATGTGACTGTATTTGGAGACAGGGTCTTTAAAGAGGTAACTAAGTAAAAATGAGGTCATTAGGATGGGCCCTAATCCAATAGGGCTGGTGTCCCTATAAGAAGAGATTAGGGCTGGGCACAGTGGCTCACACCTGTAATCCTAACACTCTGGGAGGCCAAGATGGTGGGATTGGTTGAGGCCAGGAGTTCGAGACCAGCCTGAGCAAGAGCAAGACCCAATCTCTACAAAAAATAGAAAAATTAGCCATGGTGGTGCATGCCTGTAGTCCCAGCTACTCGGGAGGCTGAGGCAGGAGGATCACTTGAGCCCAGAAGTTTGAAGTTGCAGTGAGCTACGATGACGCTACTGTACTCTAGCCAGGGTGACAGAGCAAGACTCTGTCTCAAAAAAAAAAAAAAAGGTTAGGACTCCCCTCCCCGACACACAGAAGGAAGACCACACGAAGACACAGAGAGAAGGTGGCCACCTAGAAGCCAAGGAAAGAGGCCTCAGAAAAACCCAACCCCGCTGACACCTTGATCTTAGATGTCCAGCCTCCAGAATTATGAGAAAGCAAATTTCTATTGTTTGAGATACCCAGTCTGTGGCACTTTGTTCTGGCGGTCCCTGCTAACTAATGTAGTAGGTGTGCAAATATCTCTGAAAGACCCTGCTTTCGACTCCTTTGGGCATATTCCAGAAGTGGAATTGCTGAACATCAGGTAATTATACCGTTAACTTTCTGAGACACCCACACTGTTTTCCACAGTGTGGAAAGACGGCTGTAGCATCTTACTTTCCCACCCACGGTACACAAGGGTTTTAATTTCTCCATGTCCTCAGCAACACTTGTTTTCTTGTTTCGTTTTTCATGTAGCTATCCCACTGGGTGGTAGGTGATCTCTCGGTGTGGTTTTAATTTCCATTTTCCTGGTAATTAGAGATGTTGAGCATCTTTTCATGTGTTCATTGGCCATTTGTACATCTTCTTTGGAGAAATGTCGATATTCGAGTTCCTTGCATGTTGTTTAACCATTATTTGTGGTAGGAACTCTTTATATATTCCGGATACTAACTCCTTATCAGATACGTGATTTGCAAATAAAACTGAGGGGAAAGGAGAGAGCCCAAGGCCTGGGGTCCAGGTGGGCAGGACAAAAGGGATCAGCCTAAACCACAGATGTCAGCACGACTGATGC